GTGTGTGTGTTTTGGAGTAGTCCAGTAAATTAGAAGTTTTATTTTTATTCCATTTCCAAAAACTTGTCACAATGGTTATTCTGTTTTACACATGTTTAAACAGATACAGAAAGATGCATTATATTAATTGCAAAGGAATGTGAAGAACAGTTACAGGAAATAATTACAGTAACATAAAATACACACTTTGCATATACCTATCAATCATTTTCTACATAGTTACACAACAAATGGAGACACAACGTTAATTTTTGTGGCTTACAAATCATTAAATAGTACCATATTCAATGCAACCCTTGTGAAATACATAGCCAGGTCCCTGAATGAGAAAACACCTGCAGACATGCTTAGGTCAGAGCTGATTTGGAGGCGTGTGGCGCAGTGGAGTAGTCCGTTGGTGTTCGGATCAGGGGGGCACAGATTCAAACCCCACTGCAGTCAGCATGTCGTTGTGTCCCTGGGCAAGACACTTCACCCCAAATTGCTCCTGTGGGGATTGCCCACAGTATTGAGTATGTAAGTCGCTTTGGATAAAAGCGTCTAACAAGTAACATGTAATGTAATGTAATTTAAATGATTTTCAGAGCTAGTTTCCAAAAAATGTAGACATAAGGCTTATTTTTATGTCTTAAAAAAATCATAAAATAGCCCTATATTCAATGCATCCCTTGTGGAATACATTGCCACGTCCTTAAATGAGAAACCACCTGCAGAAATGTTTGATTTAGAGCTGATTGAATGGTTCGCAGCACTGACCTTGGTGTGATGATGCAGGTGTTTCAGCTGCAGCAGGTAAACAAAGCCTTTCTTCTTCTACGGTCACACATCCAGGTCTCCAGAACCGGACGTGTTACCGGGTCAAACTGCGTGGATAGAAGCCGTGCCAAGTGAGGGAATATTAAGAAAATATTTCACGGTTAACAAAACGTCCATCAGGGCCTCTTTCCTCCCTCCTTTCACCCCGGAGAGGAGAAGCTCTCCTCGGCCGCGTCTCTGCAGACCCTCCGCTCTACGCCATGTTTGCTGCTCCACTACGAGACAACGGGAGTGAGCGGGGATTGGTCCGCAGACCTGTCAATCAAAAAGGAAAGCCCGCCCCGGATGTACTGCTTCCTTTTCATTCAGTTTTTTTTTTTTTTACTTTTTTTTTTTTTTTTAATTCATTCATCTGTGTTTTTTCTAGTGTTTAAAGAAGAGTATAACACACGGGCTTTTTTCCTTTTTATATGAATACTGGTTTTAATTCTGCAGTTTTTTTTATAGGCTTGATTGTCTTCACTAGCTTCCATGTCATATATCCTTTATTTAATTAGGTAAAAGTCTCATTGCGATTCAAATCAAAAGAGCGACCTGGCGGAGAGGGCATCACGACCAATGTTACAACAAATGAACACAAAACAATACAGGCAGATGCAGCGGTTTTATAACACAAATGAATGCGTGTGAATGTCATGTGACCTAATTATGCCACATCAAGGTGGAACGCTCTTCCCACAACTGTAAAGGAAAGTAAAACTATACTTACCTTCAAAACCTCTCTTAAAGAGCACCTTCGGGGGAGAGCATTGCAAAACTGGCCCCGGTAATGGTACAAATCTCAACCTGTCGTACAATGGACAGCTTCCCCCCCCCATCTATGTATATACTCGCATTTTAGACTCTGTTACTAACTGTATATCTGTAGACTTGGTATGTACACTCTCCCGTCCTCACCCATTCCCTCCCTCCCCTCCCTTGTTCTCAGGCCAACAACAACGCAGCGGTGTGCCTGCTCTACCTGGGCTGTCATGGCTAGCATGGCCGCGTTCACACCAAGTACTTTCCTGGGTCCCTGGGCCAGCTGAAGGGCCTGCTGCAGCAGGACCCCGCCCTCTACCTCCACGAGAGCGTCCTCTTCAACCTGACCACTATGTACGAGCTGGAGTCGTCCCGCAGCACCCAGAAGAAGCAGGCTCTGCTGGAGGCCGTGGCCTGCAGGGAGGGGGACAGCTTCAACACGCAGTGCCTCAAGCTGGTGTGAGAGGACACACACATCAGCATCACGTGTGACCGGAATACAGCAGCAGGAGTAGAATGTTTAGAGGGGTGGACATTTAGAGAAAGAAAGTGAGTGTTTCTGTCTTGATGTGGTTACCAAGTTATCACAAGGTCTTCCAGAACTGGTTTTATTTCTACAAAATAGAAGTGGAAAGCCCAAAGACATGTTTCTCTTCATGTCATGGCACTTCTCTCCTTTTGAAAGGTGACCCTGCCTGTAATGATGCACACATTTCGTCACAGTAACAGAAACCCAGGTGGTGGAATGACATTCCGGAAAAGAAATGACCCTACATTAGAAATCATGTGTGTGGAAGTAGTTTTATTTTGCAGTTAAAGGAACAGCTTGACATTTAGAGAAATACGCTAGATGAGAATATCCATACCACCCGTGTGTGCACCCTTAATATTATGCTAACTGAAAAGTTCTGTGATAATGCAATTGCAATATAGAAACCTTTTTAAAGTTAGATCAACAGGAAGTTATTTATAGACAATGCATTCATTACATTTGAATGACAGTGATAAGGAAATGCCAACCAGCTATTTGTTTTCCAGTGACAGCAATGTAAATATTTATTAAGCTAACCTTGTAATGTCACTCGAGAGAAAAAAAAACACATTTTATAGGCTAGCCATTTTCCCCTCATTGCTTTCTTTGTGCTAATTTAAGCTAACAAGCTAAGCTAACAGGCTGCTAGCGTCATAGCTAGCATGTGGTATAGTTATTCTCGTCTGTATTTCTCAAAATGTTAAAATGTTCCTCAACACTCTCCAGTAGGGCCTGGCTCATTTTGTGGCATCTTTGGCATATGCCGGAAGTACTTGCCACGCCTGGCTCATTTTGTGGCATCTGCAGGCAGTGGCAAGTACTTCCGGCATCTGCCACAGAGGCCGCTACTCCGTGGTATCTGTGGCAAGTACTTCCGGCATCTGCCACAGATGCCACAACTTGCCACAGATGCCACAACATGCCACAACTTGCCACAGATGCCACAGATGCCACAACATGCCACAACTTGCCACAGATGCCACAACTTGCCACAGATGCCACAACTTGCCGAGGCATCTGCCGCTGCTTAACGGGAGTTGCCACAAGATGCCAGAGTAAGAGAGAAGAGAGAAGGTTTACGGTAGCTGCCACTCGCCTTCCGTGGCAAATGCTGCTGTTTAAACCCGTATTTATCGTGTAAAATGTCGCTGTTTAGGCATGACTTTATCGAACTGATCTGTACACAGGACTGATGTGCGATCTCTATTTTTCAAAAAGATTAAACATTATAATTTCTATTAGATTTTACTTGGAGAACGTGGTTTGTTAAAATAAATAAACGTGCTATTTTTATGATAATACTCAAGATATATTATAAGTGAATAAAGACAATTTATTGACATTAAGATCTATCATTGTTGACCAGAGGTGGGAAATAGGCTAACTAAGTATATATACTCAAGTACTGTACACTGTGGACCTCTGTGTCGCCTGTCAGCGCAGTTTACATGATGCCGTTTAAAATATAATTTTTTATAATTTTTACCCGTAACATATTTTAAAATCAACTTGTCTGGTCAGATCATAAAGAAACAAAGCACATGTTGAAAATAGCATCAGCTTTATTATCCATACAACAAAGATGTATGTAAATCTGTCAGAAACCACTCCATTAGTGCGGAGAAGAACCTCAAGTGACATCTCTAAATTCTGATTTAAAGGTTTGAATATAAAATCAGTAAATAATGCAGATTAGTGCTATATTTCAACATGCTTCTCTGAGATTACAAGGATTGTCCTGTGCTGGAACAAGTATTTCACCCTAAATAAGTGAAGAATGACCCCTTTGAAATGTATGTTCATTTATGTTACATATTAATACAAGTTATTGTCAGTCATTCCATTTTAATGTAGCTGCTTACTATGATGCTAATCCTCCTTTTGTGGTTGCTTTGACAATAATCAATTTAAGCTAGGATAAGATTTCACAGTTTAGCATAGCTTTTTTAAACCAAAATGTAAATAGAGTAAGATGGAGGAACCTGTGGTTGGGTAGTGTATGTCAGTACACAGAATATAAAACACATTACGATCTAATCATGCGCTTCATCTGCAGAATCATAACTACTAACAGAAAAGTAGAAGGATTAACTGGAAAGAGAAAACCCACATCCACGATTTTCTAAATCTAGGCTACATTAAGTCATTCTCAACTAGAAAGCATCTTGGTGCATGATTTTGGCTAGAGGAGATCTTAAATCATCCACAGCATGATTCTTAACATTCTAACTGTAAACTCTACAGAATCACAATAAAGGCCCTGATTCTGGTGGCAGCAGTGTTCATATTGGATCCACGTTTCGATGAATAGAGAGGCGAAGTCCCGCCCTTCTACTTCCGCCCCATGGGACCTTATTTCGGAAATATTATGCATTGAAGTCAATGGGAAGAGAAAGATTATCTTTGGATCCCGTTTGAATTGTGCCACGAATTACACATATGATGTTTGTCAATCTTAAATAATAATTTCCATGTCAAAAAAGTCACAGTTTGTCGTAAAACTGTTGAAATATAAGACTATGAAAAATACGCAACTAGAAAGACTACAAATCCCAGAATCCCGGTCCTGCATGCTGGCTCTTACGGAACCGACTAACTCCCCTTGTGTGTATGTACAGCTCTCAACATGCCCAGACTTGGAGTGATTTTCACCTCTTTTAATACTTTCCGCCTCATTCTGAAAGAAAGAAGTGAAATGTGCCAACGTGACGGCCGTCTTGGTGTGTGGTGCGAGACGGGAGATGTAGTTCATTGAGCGGTTTCACACAAAAAAAGTGTTACTTCACAGTTTTACGACACATTTTTATTTTTTTGACTTGTAAAATTATCTTTTAAATTGACAAACATCATATGTGTAATTCGTGGCACAATTCAAACGGGATCGAAAGATAATCTTTCTCTCCCCATTGACTTCAATACATAACTTTTCCGAAATAAGGTCCCATGGAGCTCAACCGGAAGGGGAGGGACTTCGCCTCTCTATGGCACAGTCCCCTCTCAGCATCCCTGCAGAGATGTCACATACTTCTTGCGGATGTCAGAGTCATCAGCGGGCCGGTTATACGCTTTCCACACCGGCTCCCCCACAAACAGCCTCATGGCTTTGGTGTAGTTCTGTAGAGACAAACAGAGAGCCGGTCAGTCAGAAGGACAGCTCTGCCTCCCCATGTCAGAACGAGGGTTAGGCTTTAAATGTAGTGTTAGTTAACAGTGAGGTAATAGTAGCTGAAAATGCATGTGTTTGGGAAGTAGTAAGCATACATAAGAAATGACATTTCTACTATACTCTACAAGTTGTTAGAATGTATGGACAGACAATGTGATGCAGTTTTCTATTGTTCTCTGTGTTGTTTTCTCTGTTCCAGGTTCCTTCATTCACCATGGGGCTATGTGATAATAAAATATGTTTTCTTCAAGAATTCAAGGTAACACTGGGTGATAAACAAATGGTAATTTTGCGGGTAATGTATTCCTTTTTTTGCATTTTAAAAAAGGAATACAGGATTAGAAACCAACACCCTAAAAGAAAGAAAACGGACACAGTTCATCTCTCAACGTCAACGTGAACTTCCTGTAAGTGGGAAATAAATCAAAACAAAGCTTCACATGCCAGTTGCAACAGTTATTACAACTCTGATAGTACTAACACATCCCATAGTTGCCACACTTAGACAAAAGAGAAATGCATGTAGAATATTGGTAAATGTAATGCATTAATGATACATTTCATATGTTTGGTAATATAAATGCTGTTTGCTAACTTTTGTTTGTATAATGCTGTTTGAAACACACCAGGCGGATGGCTATCGATATTCTCTGTACTCTTAATCTTTTCAAATTTATTATTTCATTTCTCCACAGGCCTTATTGAAATTCTAGCTCATCTACAGCTCCTAATATAAGCAAAATGCAGGTAACTACTTGCAATGGTACTACTTGTCCATGACATTTATGCGTGATACGTACAGTCTCATCCAGGGTGAAGCGGTGGTAGATGCCGGCCGGCAGGGTGATCAGGTCTCCTTTTCTCATGGCCATCCGGATCCACCGCTCCTCCTGGTCCCTGACGTCGAAGTAGGCCTGGCCGTCCAGGATGTAGCGGATCTCATCATCCAGGTGCAGGTGCTCCTCGAAGAACCTCTTCAGCTGAGCGCAGACATAAAGAGAGAAATAGGCCTGAATTAGTGGTGGTTTCGAGACAGTTCAAGTACTAGCTGTCCTAATGTGTTATAGCCGTCACCACTGACTGAGAACAATGGTCATTTAAATGTCATAAACCACTGTAGAGCAGTAGTCTGGCGTGGGGAAACATTTAGGGGAAGCCCATTTTTTTGGGTTGGTTGGGGGGGGGGTGGTCAATAACGTAACCAGATGAGTGATTACAGCGCCCGGTATCATTTTACACACATTTGTATCACACAGATGCAGGACTTGCACACGCCTGTTATCTAACCGACAGGTCCGCACGCACTCTCCAGCCGAAACTCTCGTTTTATTAATTTAAGCATTTTCTTATTAATTTATGCAGACACACCCCCCCCCCCCCAAATGCAATACCAGCCGCTCAATGCGCAGTGCAGATTCGGTAATGAATAAAAAAGAAGCATTCATTCACA